TGAATTGAGGCATCAGCAGTACTGCGTTTCAGACAGCGGTTCTGTTGTGTCGAGTCTCTTCAGCCTCGATGCTCTAGGACATTCTACATCATTGCTTCTTGAACTTTGGGGCGGGCCCCACTGGTGGGGCATTGAGTCACTGCAGGTGAGACATTGCTGACCAGGGGAAAAATATGTAGTGGAACAAAGCTGAATGAATATGATTTATGTAGGGAAAATAAACAAGAAAAAGAGTTTGCTGATGCTATTGTACTGACCTGTATTGAACTAAAATTCAACATGGATCCCTTTTTTATTAGTCCCTCTCTCATTGTTAACGATTACTAAAAACTGTAGTGTGGCGGGCGTGAACTTTTTTCTTCTGAAGGGTGGACCACCACCAGAACCACTCCTCTAGATCCTACTGGGACATAATTCTAATTCTGACTGTCTTTACGATGGTAGAATGCAGATATTGTAATTGATTTCACATGGCTTTCATCCTTTCTTCTTTTGTTCCAAAGGCAGTAATCTTAGGTCTGTCTGCATTTAGCCCAAGAGAGTTCATTTATTTGTTCAGTTCTCTTGAAGAGAATGAAGTGAGACTGTAGTCGCTTGGTAACAGAGCAAGGTAAACCTGAGTCTCGTCTGCATAATGATATTTAATATTTTTGTTCTGTATAATGTAGCCTAATGGAAGCATGCAAGGATTGAGCCTTGGATAAACCCCATAAATCATCTTGGCCTGCTCAGATGCATCATAACTACCAATTGAGACAAAAGCCCTGAAAATATGACTTGAACCACTTTAACACTGAGCCTGAGAGCACAACCAAGTTTTTCAGGCTGTGCAAAAGTAATTTGAACTGTGTTAAAAATAAACACAGCACTGAAATGTAATATGACTAGAACTGAAATTTCTTTTTGACTCACTTATTAAACAAATATCTTTCAGAACCTTAATAAGAGTTGTCTCAGTACTGTGTAGGGCTGAAATCCAGATTTGTAAATTAGCAAAGTAACTATTTGATGTTAAAAATTGACTTAGTCGCTGGTAGACAACTTTTTCAATTATTTAACTTACAAAGGGATGGTTTGTTGATAATCACAGATGTATTCAGATTACTCTTTTTTCGGGAGAAGCTTGAGGACTGCATTTTCTAAGGCTTCAGGACAGTTACCTGATGAAAGAAAGCTACTATCTGCCTCAAATCCATTGCCAAACAGCTGAAAACATTTTTAGGGATGCTTGTTAGTAGAGTATCAAGACAGCAGGTGGACAGCTTAGGATGCTGCACAATTTCCTCCTGAGTTCTGTTGTCAACAGCACAACATCTCGCTATTTTCACCATTATTTTTTGCATGAAATTGAACTTTTACTGGTTGACCTCTAATTTTATTACTGAAGAAGTCAAAAAAGAGAATGTGAGTTAGTGGCATTGTTGGTGAAAAGGATTGCCTAGTCTTTCTCAGTTCTAAATGGTAAGTATTAAGTTTCTCTTTAAATATGTGAATTTGAGGTTTTTCGCCATCTGGCTCAGCTTTTTGGCATTCCCTTCTCTGGATCATTGCAGATTTGGCATTTCTCTATGGAGTTTTTTGTTTAGCAGATGATGAGTTAACCCTGTAATGACATCAATGAAATCATCTTTGTAATTGGGATGGTTTTGAAGATCAGATGGAACATCATGGGTAAGTGCAAATGCAGAGTTAGCTTCCATTAACTGTTCACCAGTATTCTCATTGATGCACCACTTTGTAACCGTTATTGATGTCGTGTGGACTTTGGGAGTCATCAAATAAAGCTTTGACATGATCTCATATAGCATGGTCAGTTGCATCAACATTTGAAATATTAACACCCTTAGTGATGATCAGATCTAGTGTGTGTCCTTAATTGTGTGTGGGCGCATCTACATCCTGAGTCAATACATATATGTCACCAGCTTACATTCAGAAAGTAGGAAAAGGAAATCAAGTTTAAGAGTAGTAAAAGGATTATTTAAAATAATTTGTTTGTTAAAGAGGATATGGATAGAACATACCATTCTTTACTCCCCCACCTGGCAGTGGTGGAGGCGCCAATACAGTAGGATGCAATAGGTCCATGCACAATAGAGGAAATGGATATTGGGCGAAGTAGACATGGGGCAGGGACCCTGTATGTCCAAGTTATCTTCTCTTTTGTCTGTACTGATGCCAGGCAGATTTGCTTGGTGTTGATTTGACTGGCCATGTTTAGAGATGCAGCACTGCAACTTAGCATCACATATCTCTGATATCGGCTTGTAAGAGCAATCCCCAAGAGGGGAGGTGAGGGGAGACTGATGAGGAAAAGTGTTGGTGACCTTGCTGGGCTTATCTTCACCAGCACGGGTAGGAGAGAGCTGTTTTCTCTCTCTGTTGTCTTCATTATCAGCAAGGTCGGTGCCACAGAATGTGCTGTGCTGGGGTGGAGGCAGAGCTCAGAGGGGGTGAATTTAATGCCAGCATTAACCAGCTTTTCCATTTTGTCAGTGAATCCCAAAAGGTGTGAGCCAAAGGAGAGGGGAGAGTGAAGAGAGCACGACTTGGAAGACTGACCCATGACCCGGTTATAAGCCTATTCACATAGAGGCTGTCGTGTTTCGTCTTTGTGGCTTTATGGCTTTATGGCTTGGCTGATGGGTATTGCAGGCCGAGACAAAAATGATCACTACTCCATATCATATTGAGTAGAGGCCATCTGCTCTGAAAAGATACATACATCCCCACACCAGATTAAAGTTATCAGTGTAGTTGATCCTTTTCAGACCACAGGCTTGGTGAGTGATGTATTCAATTCATAAAAAGTCTGCTGAACCTGTTGATCCCTCTGACCATTGGCAGTGATCCAGTCATCAACAACTGGGCTTCCAGTTTATCAAGGCCATTTAGAAATTCAATGAAATCCTGCTTCATTGCTCTCCATATGTAGGATAATTTTATTATTTTGGGGTGAGATATCAGAAGCAATATTTTTTAATTGTGTTACCACTTGTAAAACGTTACATAAAAAAAAGTTACAGGATGATGTTTTTGTTTTTTCATCCCCCTTCACTTCATTACCATTCACTTACTTGGCTATTTCCATTCATTCAAACTCCTCATAATTCTCCCTCGTCCATTCTTATTAGCACCCATCTACACATGTCTAATAAGGATTTTTTAACTGTTCAAACCTGTTTTCTAGTTTCTAGTTTAGTTTTCAGACTGTGGTCTGTGTTTATTATACCTTTGGTCATCTGCCAGATGTCTGGGGTAAAAGTTGCCTGAGCTGAAGCCATAAATGTTGCCCTCAGTGGGAGTAAAGTCTTGCACTTATCTTTAGGTTTTGCACCTGGATTATTGCACAATCCCAGTCACTGCACATGTTATGGTAGTTGAAAGCTGTCTTTCTAAATTGTAGTTGAGTCACTGGTGGGAGACATTGGGAGAGTTTCATGGAGTTAACAAGTCTTCTCCAGTGCAAATATCCTGGTTGAAAGTGTGGCAATCTTCTGTAGTCTGTGCACTTCATCAATGCGGATGAGCCGGATGTTGTTGTTGACAAGCAGCAAAGGGCTGCAGGTCAGATTCAAACCCATGGACACTGCAGCAAGGTCTCAGCCTTGGTACTTTGTGCACCAGGTCTACCAGGTGAGCCACCTTCTCTGTTTTTAATCATAGATTAAACAATGTTAATTTGGATGTTACACAGGCTTTTACTTTCAACTGAGATTTGTTGACTTCATCCAAAATCATACTGCTGTCTTGAGACAGGTTTGTAAAAGAGCATCACCATCACACTTTTCCTGGTTACCTTGGGACATCTTCAATGCACAGGTCCTTGGGTTTGTTTTAATTAGGTTGCAAATTATATCCAAGTAGATTTACAGGTACAGTAAGTGGGCAAGATAAATTGCATAGGAAATGCCACATTAACATGTAATAAGACTGAACTAAGTAATCTCTAATTAGGTTGCCCTTTTAGAAAGGGGAGCATGTCTGTGATCCTTTGGAAAAAGACTAATTGTCTGAGAGGGTTAGAGACTTTTTTAGGGCTCTGGTGCACTTGGCCTAGAACCTTTTTAACAGCTGATTATGATGCACAAATGATACTCACAGGTATTATCACATGGTGTTAAATGCAGGTGATAATGTTTATTATGCTCAGCTTTATATCTGCCTCTCGATACACTACTTTTTAATAGTTATCAATTTTACATCTTATACTTAGGTACTTGTGTTTCTCCAACTCACTGCCTCTTTTCTTCCACTGATGGTGCTAATGAATTAAAATTTTTGTATTATACTAAATAGTTTTCCTAATTACCTTATGGTGATAGATTAAGTTTTTGACTACGTTTACGTGTACCATGCTGGAGTTGCAAGAAGGTGTATGGGATGGTTGGCAGGCATATAAAGTTTTTGAATGTAAGTGTAAGATTGTCTATTTAGTCAGAAGTCGAATAAAGTACACTGTCAGTGAACATACTTAAATGATACGAGTATCAGCATTTTTTAGTTATATTAGTATTATTTAGTACTTATTTGGGTTGACAACTTAAACGTTTTTTGCGCTTTTAATAGCAGTTTTTTTAAATTAACTACACAGTTGGAGGAATTTTTGTACAAAAACAAAATTATTGCGAGTATCAGTATTTCCCAATACTGTAACAGTATTTCAAAACATTATTTTTAAAAAAACAAATAACGGAAAAGATATCTTACCTGACCATTTTTGTCTCTCACAGATTAATACTAACACTGATACACTGGGTAAAAAAATACATGGATATAGGAATGTATTGCTGATTGAAAGTTTTGGATGATAGCTGCAAGATAACTATATCTCTCCCGCTTCAGCTGGCAGCTGCACCGACTGTCAACAACAACAGACACTTCATTTTGATATTTGATGAAGCCACTGTCTGTGTACTCACATAAACCAGTCAGATGAGCAAAACAAGACAGACCCAGAGAAGAATACAACAGCCAGAAAAATGAATCATACAGCAGCATGATGGAGAAGAGTCACCCTCAGTTTTAATTAGTCCAGCAACCAATTTTAAAACAGAGATAGAAAACGATGGACCAATACTGACATATGATAAAACGAAGAAGAGGCCAGACTTTGGGCTTTCACTTCACAGTTTGTGGTAATTTTGTTAATTCACTGTCAGGACTCCAATATTTCATATACAGCAGTCTCTCAACCTAATTCAGGCCATACAAATTGTAAACTGGACTGATTTTTATGGAACGTTATAAATGAAGGGATTGAACCATACATTATTTATGTGATTGTCTATTGATTCTCTTGATGGTGATTAGTGATTTTCTTTTGAATGTAACTAATTCATTTTCTAATTGAATGTCAGGCTGTATCAGGATTTAAAGTAGTGTAAAAAGTCTACTTTATCTGAGGTATGCAACTGAATGAAAGGGAGTTGCATAAGTAACAACATTAACATAAGAAGGGAAAATGTGTGGGCTAACAAAACTTTTGAAACCAATATTAACATAATGAAACCAACCCAAAACTCAGCTCCATGATGAATGAATGCAATAATATCAAACCGACATGTCTCCAGAGGTATTGGTATTAGTTATCTACACACTTTCATTTCAGGTACCAGATCATACACACATGCCTCCTCATTAATAACATCATGCATGGATCTGGCTTCTGGAGACAAAACTAAACAAAAACTAAACTACAAACAAAACCTAAGCAAAACCAAACAGCACTTGTTACAAAATGTTACTATACATATAATACCTTCAAATCAAACTCTATGTTTATATACAATACAAATTTTGCTCTTCTTTCCTAGAATCTAGAATCGCTGACATGTGGTACAGAGCATACAGCAACTCTTTAAAAAAAAAAGCAACAAAGCGCAAAAAAGTACAACAAATACAACATTAAAACATGATGATTTAAAAAATAAAACATAAAACAAAGTACGTGGCGCATAGAAAAGGGAACTGAACCTCAATTAAAGACAAACGACGTACATTTAAGTTAAGCAACAATATCAAGTTCACATTTTCCCCATAACTATGCTGTGGTGCCATGGCAAATCATGTCTCTTTGTAGTCCTTTGCTTCACTGCCATGGAAACAACAGCGGCGGCTGAATGCACTTTCCTGTTGTTATGGTGAAGTACAGTTTAACAGCAGCCCCGGTCTGTTATTCACCCCTTATTCATTTTCTCTTTCCTTTCCTCCCTCCAACCATCCTTCCCTCCTTATTCTGAAGGCATTCAGGTGAGTTTCTCTTTAGTTCATTGAAAACACCCAGTACCCCCTATGCAATGTTCTTAATTGCATTCTCATTAAGCTTTTCCATGTAGTTCCTAAGATCCTTTGAGTCCCCAAGCTCGATGTCCGGACATACCCATTTTATCTCACTGGTCTGCACTAGTGCTAATGGGCTGAGCACAGGACATCCATTACTGGACTTGACATTGGAAAAGGTGGTGAACTTCACCCTCTTTCTCTTGGTAGTGGGTGAGTTAAGCGACTCATTCCTGTGATCCCTCCCACTCGAACTACAGCCTCCCACACCATTATTACCACGCTGGACGCCTCCATTTAATAGTTGACTACCTTCCTCTAGAGTACCACCAAGCTCGTCCTGCTGCTGTTGCTGCAGACATAGCCCCTCCTCTTGGCCCAGCCAAACCCAGTCGTGGGCATGGGGCATTGCTTCTGGGGCCTCCAGGGAAAGCTGCTTGCTACGGTACTTATATGCATAAGAGATGCAGTTAATTAGAAAAACCAGGATGGCCAGGCAGAAGACTCCCAGCAGAGCATACATACCAATCTCCAGGTCTGTCAGACCTCGTCGGGACGGTAACAAGTCCTCATCAGTGCTGCGGCTACGAGGCAGCTCTGCCTTGTCTGGATATTCAGAGAATTCGCTTGGGACCCTCGCCCCGCTGTCCGCTGATAGACGCCCCCCATTAGGTCTCACTGGGACGTGACCTCTGATGGTAGTGGCTCCGCGGTTGATTAACCCAGTTTCCATGTCAGAGATAGATCCACCATAATATGGAGGATCAGGCCGCGTTCGCCGATCACCTGGTTGTCTGTATTGCTCCCCTGGCTGACCAAATCTTACCTGTATATTTGCCATTCCAGTGGCTGTGACAGTACGCCTTTTTCCCTTCTGGCACACCTCTGATGGGCTCATTTCAACACGCACAAGCAAACCCTGACCTTCGCCCTTAGCAACAACAATGGGCCACTTCCATGCCGCACTGCGCTTTACCACCACCACCTGTTCATCCAGAGAGATGGCTGCCAGGGTAAAATGGGCAGGGTTGTAGTTGTCTAGAGGAGTCATGGATCCATCACTGAACTGGAGCCAAGCACTGATGAGGGACTCCTAATTAAATACACATACAAACAGAAATTGGTTTCAGTACAACAGCAGTAACCCAAATAACCCTGGAAATAATTCCAAAAACAGTAATCTGCAAGTTTCCAGCTAATGCATAAGAATGGGAAATTAAACAGAGGAACATGGTGAAAGCAAAAGTGAGCCTTAATTACCGTAGAAAGGTTCATAGAAACAATAGAGTGGATATTATATGATATGGAACTATTCCCCTGAAAGCCAAATATTCTTTTCTCTCCAAGGGAAGAGACAGTAGCCTTTTCCCATTTGAAATTATAATTACAGGAATAACAGAGCTGTTCAGTGGTTGGATATGCAAATCAAAGAGATGGCTTCACTAAATCAAGAGTGAATTAATTATAAAGGAAAAATTCTAATGCATATCATAGACTCCATAATAAGCCTTATCAAGCCCTGAACAAGCCAAATGCAATGCACCATACAGTGCTATTACAGTAAAGATGATACTTTCCCTCTTCTTGTGGTAGGTTAAGGAATGATATTTGGAAGTCTTGGACCCATACCTGTTTTAGTGAGTCAATGACCTCCTGTGTGGTTGCAGTGGCGATGATGGCCCTGTTACTCCCTGGGCTGAGCTGCAGGGACAGAGAGAGTCCAGATACCAACTGCACCCCCAGCTCTGTCACACTCACTTTATCATCCAGCACCCTGATGCTCCTCTCAGCCAGGACTGATGATGTCAGAGGGGACAGCACCTGCAATACATGCAAACACTTGCTGCTCATTATAGTCCATTAAGATCTGAGATGACATTGTTACTGTAAATGAAGAGGAAGAGCCAATTTGCTAGCAGCCACTGTTGTTGACTATGTACTGTCACTGTAGATGATAAGCTGTCCAATCTTGGAGCCCTGCAAGCTGAAGCCTGCACGCTAAATTGAGTTTTATCAAGAAATCCCTTTTAAAGTTCCTTCTTTGAATGTAGTCATACTATGTGGGTTCCAGTAGTAAATAAACTGTTATCAAAACAGATATTTGCACACATTTGCATACAGCTTTGATGGAATATCATCTTGTAGTTCAGTACTGTAAAATCTTAAAGAAAACACATATTCTTAAAGTACACTGCCTTATGTCAAATACCAGCCTATATCGATGTCAAAAGACCTCCAAATTGAATGACAAATGATGTTGTTTGTAACCGCACTCCAGAATGACACTTATGATGCCCTGTTTTATTATTCTATTCAACAGGACAATTCGTAATTTGCTTTTCTATCAAAAAAGTTATAAATCATGGTTATAAATAAATATAATAACAAATATATATGTTTTGTTAATTGATAGCGGTTTAGGGTTTGGTTATTTTTAGAACTACTAGAACTTCATTAGGGTTAGGGGACGTAATAGTAGTTGGGGTAAAAATTATTACTTAAACATCCGTGTTACATTCAGGAGGATCTATTGGCGGAAATGGAATGTAATATTCATAGGTATGTTTTCACTAGTGTATGGCCTGACAATAAGAATCGTGTTTTTATTGCTGGTCCTTTAAAGGGTTAAGGGACCTTCATTGTCATTGTTACAATATTAACCACTTGGTTGTTGTTAGGGATTGATCATTATCATGGTTAAACTAAGGTAGACTGTTGGTAGGACACCAGGCAGGAAAAGTGATCTCCTATGTTGATGACTTGTTTGTTGATTCATCTATCCACCCCAACCTCCTCTGTGGAATTTGTTGCTCTACAGTACTGTTGCCTAAATCTCTCCTTTATTACTTTTTTACTATGGTTGCCAGTGGACTTGAATGTAAACATGACGTATTTCTGGCATTTGCTGGAACAACAGATGCAGTTATTTTTATTGGAAGAACATTCTCCCTATACTTTTTTGTGTGCTGGGTCAATAAAAATGTATGTAAATAGAACGGAAACTTTGGCTCCTGTATTCAAAACTATTAAGCAACGGAGACCACATGCACGGGGTCTGTGCATAGATAAAGAAACATTATGATTATAAAAAACAACTAAACCTAAACTTGCACGCGAACCTATAATCGCCACCCTTCTAATACATTCTCTATCTCCCTGAGTTGCCAGAGATGTAAGCATGTAAATTGTTGTGATATTGTTATGAGATGAGAATCCCTCACATCCGCTCCAATTAGGGCTCCGGTCTCTCCCCCAGCCGCCCCCGCATAGATCCATTTACCAACCATAATGATCTGTCAGCACTGATCACTGCCTCATTTGTACAGACCCTTTTCCCTGTTTTCTTCCCTTTGGTTTACCTCGTTTTTTTTTTCCTTTTGCTTCCCACGCAGTGACACTGATATCACTGAGTTTTAAACGTTGCTAAAATCAGTGTAGTCAAAAAATGGGAAATTGTTTTAACCTTATCTCTGAGATGAGGGCAAAGGTTAAAAAGCCACACTGGTGGTGAATATCACCACCTACAATTCTTTACACATCTTCAGTGACACAAAATGTTAATATGAAAATTTTGGGCTACTGAAATGCTTCATTTTTGGAAGTTGCACTACTGGTAACATCATACTTACATACTTATACTCGTCATCATCATACTTGCATCCTCTGGATGTTTAGATTCATATCATTGTAGGTGAGTAAGATCTGTTTGCTTTATATTAAAATAAAATCACACTGCAGTCAAAAGGTGCCCCAATGCCGTACCAACTAGGAACTACTAAAATATCAGAAAGTAAGTAGGTACCTAAGTTTAAAGTTCAAGAAGCCATGCATCACCTTCTCGAACAGAAGCAGCTCCCAAACTTCCAGTCACAAAAACATTTACCCCCTTCATAGCTGTCCACGAGATGTCAGGAACATTTTTTGTGTCCCTCAGACTGATCAACAATCCTCTCAACCTAGCCCTGACTACATACTAACAAGTGTCCAGATTTTCTTAAAGGTGTCTAGGCTCCTTTCCTTGACTCTGTGGAAGTAGGCAGACCCTTTTCCTCCCCTTTGTCAGAGTCCTTTGTCCAATTTTAAGAAATGTCATGTCTCTTCTTTACCCCATTAGAGAGATTGCAGGTCCTGCCTTTGGCCTAGATCCATATTTGCAAGAGTCCCCCAGCAGACATGTCAAGTCCCTTCCACAGACCAGTTCCAGAGTTTACAGGTTGCTTCATTCCACCTCCAGAGAGCAATTAAAGACCCCTTCCAGGCTTCCCTCTTTCCATTCAAAGCTGTCAGTCTTGTCTTGTATGATTTCTTTCCAAATCTCAGAGGGCTTTTACTACCTGACCCCACAAAATCCCATTTGCGCCTGGTTCTAGTTTGGTGTAACCAACAATATTACATACGATCGATTGTTGCCCAGACCATGTTACTCTGACTCATTATTCTGACACTTTCGCAAAGGTTGATAGCATAATGTGTTTTTCATGCCAGTAGTCTATCCATAACATGTCAGACAGACGGTGCTTCAAAGGATTCATTAATTTCTCCTGATACACCTTTGAACTTGCAGCCCAGTATCTTAATGATGCAAATTTGGAATCTTCTAAAACCTCAGTGACATTTAATTGTCAAATCCTTCATTGTGCTTCGTTGTAATTCTAAACAGTTAAACAACACATCAAAATAAAGCTTCTAATGTGTGTTATGTAAGGCTGCTCAATTTAAATTTGATCATGATTACGATTTTGGGGTCAAACATTCTCAAAACTAATAAAATCGGGGGGGAAACGATTTTCTTTTCATTTCCTGTTGTGCAACGTTATATAGAAAAAAAGCTGTGTCCCAATTCAGGGATGTAGCCCCTGAATTGGGACACAGCCACAGTCTGCATGTTTTGTGCATGCGTATTTCCGTCCCTCCCCCACAGCATGCACTGCACATGAGTCAGTCACGTTGTTTTCGTTGGAGTACAGGTAACAGGTAATCAGTGATTCCTCTAGGATTTTTTTTTTAGCAGTGGGGGCAGGCCCGTCCGAACACGCCCGTCACGCCGGCGAACGTTTTACATATGAAACAGAAGTGACACTTCGCTGCGACACAAACAAATATATTTACCGTTTTAATGTTTCCAGATGTTTGATATCAGGACGTTGAGCTGAAAACTGACAAGTTGAACGTTGTCCAATTAAAACGGACCCACCGCAGTGACGTTTTTGGTGGAGCTGTTAGTTTAATAGTCGACTTGGAAGAAAGCGAACGTTTAGACAATAAGCTACATCAACACAACAGTATGTGGAGTTAAACTGAACAGCCCCAATAACCTCTAAATAGTTCTACTTGTTGTTAAATTGCAATGTGAGCGGCAGCCAACGGGGGTGCATTATGTCGGCAGGATCATTTGAAAGGCAACCGTGACTACATTGTGCGTCTGCCCCATTTCTGATACCGTGGCGGCAGAAATTTAACAGCGGTAGGCCGCCGCTCCAAAATCAACATAGAGGAAACACTGGGTAATTTCAAATGTTGTGGAAGTGCACTAAAATTTGAGAACACAAATTGTTTTTCTATGGCTTATCTTTTGTGTGTTATTTAATTTAATTTAACTTTCTGTAGAGATTGCAAGAGTGCACTATGACTGTCAATGTAAAAAGGAGACTTACAAATGTTTATGGGGAAAGGAAAGTGTAACTGAGGACTTCCTTGCAAAGTGTTTTTGACAAATGTCCATTAAATGCAGCATGTTTCTGAAGTTTAAAAAAAAAAATCGTTTGAATAATCGTGATTTCAATTTTGACCCAAATAATCGTGATTATGATTTTTTCCATAATCGAGCAGCCCTAGTGTTATGTATTCAAAATCTTCAGAAATTAGAGCACATGAAAATGTATTAGCACTCTGTTTCTTGGATGAATGAGGCAGAGTTCCTTCCTTTGCTGTCAAGCTGACTGGGTTTGACTTTCTGACAGTGCAGTTTCGCAGCAAGCACACCTCAGATTTTGAACCCCTCAACCAGCACATGAACACAGAATACAGTATTGTGGAAATCAGACCGCACTCTCAACCATAAGGTAACACTGAGAAAAATAAAAAGGTATATTCACAGTAGTTTATTATCTAGATTGACTATATGACTGGACTAGCTGCTTTGGAATTAGTTTTTTTTATCACAGAAATCTGTGATCGGATTTAAAACAAAAAGGTAAAACAAAAAAACCCCCCACCTTGATCTTTTCCTAATGGGCTTCCAAATACAAATAATACAAAATCAATTTTGGGAGGGCAAATGAAATACAATCTTGGTTCTTTTCATATTTATTCTTACACAATGTTTGAATAAAGATATTGTAGAAGAACAAAAATTGTGTACGACCAAATATTAGAATATTCAAAACAAATATTTTTTCTCTTTACACATCATTTGTGCCTATTATTGTAGTCAGATAGTAGTTAACCCTAACTGTGAGTGAACTGGGTAAATAAAGGTCACAGGAAATGGTTATACTGAAATGGCTTGTGTTGTTTTTAGGAAAATTAGGAAAGCCACTCAAATACATAACCCTAGTGGTTCACTGAGCTGATTTCATGCTTTGCTTTGTTCGTCTATTTCACTAAGTGTTTACATGATTTCTCTGGATTAAGCCCAAAAGCTTTGTCCTAAATCAAGAGCATGTTTTCATTCTGAATGATTTAACCTTTCCACAGACCACCTGAGAAGCATACCAAAGACTAGGCTGAAAACATAACTAACACTTTGAGTACAAATTGTTGATTAATTAGTAGAAACATTAACTATCAAATCAGGTCTGCATTCAGTGCTACAAATAACCTTTATGTTCAGTTATATCATTTGCATTTCAAGGGAGAAATACACTCACTTATAACAGGTACCAGCAATTATAATTCACTTTGCAATATCTAGATCAAGCAGGAACTGGTACAGGAACCAAAAACATATCTGAAATTATTCCTTCATTACCACAGAGATATACTACAACATACTGTATTTCTTCTGGGATAAAATCCTATGTATTTTTAAAAATCTTTCTTGGTTACTGCAGTGATTGCACTTGGATGTCATTGTCAACAATTGGAAAGCACTTGTATTAGAAGTTGGACCTAAAATTGATCTGAATTAAACAAATGTCAGTCTCCTTAACACAATTGCCAATACTCTGGAGTCCACTTGATTGATTGGGTTTAAAATAAAGAAAGTGATTGAATGAGTGACTGCATGAACATATTTTATAGAAAGAAGAATAGTTTTTTTTACATATTACCCACTTCTTATGCATTTATTCCATTCATTAAGTGCATTCTCCATGACCAATCAAGCAGCTACCACCACCATGGCCGAAATATTAAGGCAACAAGGACAATTACCGATACATACTTTCTCCAAAACAACCCAGGCTTCCTAGCTACAGCCATTGGAAAGCAGCCAACATGTCTCTCAAAATGAAAAATGAACTTTTTTTTTATTCTTGAATGCAACCAATATGGTTATGTGATCCAATATTATAACTCCACAAAACTAATTACCTGCCATTTTAGCCTAAAAATGAATAATGAATTAATTAAAAACCTTTCTGACAGTCTTTATGACAGTTGATGTTTGGAAACCTTCCAAATGTGCAGGGTTGCTTTATAGCACTGAATTACAAGTTATCCTCTAATTGGATTTGAATTTAATACTAATCATGCACACAGTGAATTGGACTGGGCTGACTTTGTCAAAATCAAGGCTGGATCTAGCATTTGAGGCATTCATAATACAGTTTGTTAAATGGCCTATAGAGACGTTCACCCTTTATACCACTGTACAACATCTTACTCATCAGCACAGATGAGTAAGATGTAAATCTACTAGATGTTAGCTTTGCAGTAAAATGAATGAGAACAATATTCCCATTTCATCAGTACCAGACTTAACACAAGATGATGTCCAGTCACTTTTCCTTTCATTTAAGCCATGTCCTGGCCAGCAGTGAAACGGCACTCTGTCTCACAAACACATAATCACTCAAGAAGTGCCAACAGCTCTTCAGTTGATAAATAAAGAGAAGGAGATTATGATTCCAGTCCACTGCCTCAACAATGTGTTGTTCCGTATCGTGCTATCTTGTAAATGCCAGATTGATGTTGATTTACACTGTGAGCAAGCACACGTGCTGTCCTGAGCAAGAACCTGGTTGTAATATCAGATAAATAGGATTCTGAGCGTGTGTGTGTGTGTGTGTGTGTGTGTGTGTGTGTGTGTGTGTGGGTGTGTGGGTGTGAAGGAGAAAGAGAGACCGAAGAAGTGCAATCTTTTATTAGATGTGCCATGAAGGCATGTTTCTCTGTCAGCTTCTGATAGGCTTAAGTATTTGTGCCATGCTGCAATCAATGTAGTTATTTTTGTTACTCGTTCCCTTTCCACTGCCAAACCTGTTCCGTCTTACCCCATGTTTTCTATACCTATACCTTACTTCCAATCTGCACATTTCTTTCTAGTTTTACTCCTTTCTAAACATGCAAACTACTAAGTTAAAGCGACACTCTCTTTTTCTGGCCACTTGGGGTCAGAACAACTTATAAAAACCTAAAAACACAAACTTTTAACATATTATTGGCTTTTCGTTTGCGATGGAGTGCCTATTTTATGTATCCAGCTGCCACAAAGCAACATTAGCATTCATTCAGAATCATGTTTCTGGCTACCTGATGAATGTAAATCTAATATTTACTCTCCTTTTAGACACGTTTCCGTCTCCATCTAGGTTTTAGCTCCTAGATGCTCCACTACGTTCACCAGCTTGTTGTTAACTTTGTCTGGATCGGTGGTGTACATGGGGGTATATTAGAGCATTTTTGCTGTAAACACATGCTTGTTGCTGCAAGAGACTGTTGAGAGTGGAATTTGGTACCACCAAAACAATGAGGTCAAAGGGCCTAAAAAACCTTGTAGAGATGAAGAGTTGGGTGTCTTTTCCCCAACTTCCTCAACTCCTTTTTCGCTGGCCATTTTCACAGTACTTACAGACTTTACAGGATCTCTGTTGTTCATGGGTTACGGTTAACTGTGTAGGCAGGATTAAGCAAAACTACTGCTTCTGTGTCAACTGAAAATGATGTTGATGAGACAGATGTGTCACTACTGATCGGTTGGGGCAAAATAACCCCTTCACCCAAACGGCTAAAACAAACGAGCAGGATGTCTGAATAATGAAATGAAACAAAATTAAAATGCAGTTTGCTTATCAGGTTCCCAAAACAGACAGACATCCAACCTGTAGTTTGGTGGTTCCAGGGCTCAGTCCTATTAGGACTTGGCCCTCCGACAGTTGCGCAACCTTCGGGTCCGCCACCCTCAGAGAATCCTTCACCAGTTGTGTAACCTCCACCTGCCAGTCACTACCCAGAAGGAAGTTCTGCTGGCCCAGTCCGTCCTCCTCCGGGGCTCCTCTAACTTCTCCCGTATCTGCCACAAAGTGAGTGAGGACACGCAGAGTGGTGCTCTGATACTGGGCCACACAGCTGTTGTCTGTCCTCTCATCAGCTCCATCGTCTTCATCCTTGTCATCGGTGACCCTCTCATACCTACAGGGATGGGAAAACAGATGAACAATGGGAATGAAGCACAGATCAATTGCTTATAACAGTGAGGAGTATAGAGGCAGATGCTTTAAGCATACTTCAGGTTGTTTCAGGGGTAAAAAGTACTGAACGCTCTTTGTGTCTGGAGAAGTCCTAAGGAGACAGAGATACTTTGAAGGTTATCAACAGCACAATTCTGCTTTTTCCTATCACAATTCAATGTAATTCATTTTTTTCTTATCGCCATTAATGCCCACGAAGTCTAAACCCTCTGATGTATTTACTGCAGTCAATGCCTCGACTCTGTTGTGCTGCAGGTTTTCCCAACCTCCCGAAAGTCGTACGCTCCCAGTGTTTTCAAAAATCCATTAAAAACAGCTTGCAGAGACAAACTGCTGCCTTGCTTGTGTTCTCATTTTCTTTAAAAGGGCAGCTGATATTTTGCTGTATGTCTGCCATTTATTTGGCCCACAGCAAACACTTTGCAGATATAGCCATCTCAGAAGATATGTGAGATATGTTTTGTAGCAAATGCAGGGGAATTTTATGACACATCTGTTCTGTTCTTTAAGTCTAAGTTTGTATGACCCTTTATCACATTAACAGGCCCACATTAGACTGGGAAAGGTAGAAAAGGAAGCAAGAAAGGGGAAAACAACCCTATTACTGTGAAAACATTTAAAAATCCTACAAAGAATTATGGAAGAAGGAAAATAGGTGCCACTGTGGACCTAATACGACACTGAAACATTTATACCAATAGACAGCGTAGATTAAAGCGCACACAGTGTGCAATTTAAGAAGATAAAATACAGTCTCAAACCATTACTAGGCAAGATTTATATGGCACCAGGATGTTTTATACAAGTTTAAGTGTACTTTATAAAATAAAAAACAAAACAAAATAAAAGTTCATAACATATCCTACCTTGCTGCATTAAGGGGTCCATTTGATTCTATTCTCTGCTCTACTGTATTTTTAAAGCACTTTGTCTCACTTCATGATTAACTGGAATTTACTGTACCTCCTGTTCCAATTCTTTCCAAAAATACATTAAAAGTGCTTGTAGACACAAACTGCTCCCTTGGTTACTATAATACATCATATCAAACAACAACATATTGTATTTTTTGGTCCCCAGGCTTAGCCGCAGGAGCTACAGTGATGGGTAAAATGTGGCCTCGGGACACGGATCCGCTCTAAAGAGTTCGACCATGTTGATGATGAAGAGAAACATTGCTATGGCTATAATGCGTATACATTAGTCTTATCCTTGCACTCTTCATCTTCCATCACTCTTTATCACTGGATATATGTCGATTTTGTTGTTTTGTCCTGTGCATTGCCATCTCTCACACTGCATGCCTGGCTCTCACTCTATATTTCTCACATCAATTTCTAACTTGACTTTTCTATAATCTATTTTTCAACTTGCACTGTTTTTCTCTCTCTCTCCCTCTTCTCTCTTACTCTTTCGAGCTCTGCTTGCATCTCTCTCTCTAACAGTCAGGTGGCCGGGGGGGGAGTGACAGTGACAGTTTCCATTAGGTTTAATGAGGCATGGCCGGTCAGGCAGAAAAACAGGCTGACAGGTTAACATGCTGTGGCCCAATGGCTTGGCTTAGTTCCTAACCTCTTTCCACCATCCCCTCCCCTTCCCTTATTCCACATCAGTGAAGGGACGGCAGTCTAAACCAAGGTGACATTTGTGGCTGGCAACAGAAACATGAGGTCAGGTCATGTTTGTAGCAGTGAGTGACAGGTCAGCCAAGGTGCCAGAGTGTAATGAGGTAGCTTACATGCTTATGTGAATGTGAATGCGCACACATTGATAAAGCCATGCAGAGAAAACATTTTATTTTTTTCATTTAGCTTTCTCTGTTACAAATATGCACATAAACTTCACATATCATGCATTCTTCATACGGTGAGGTGCTTGACAGACATGACTGATGTGCTCAGGCGTTGGTAGCCTAGGGGGTATTTGTGTTAGAGTGCCACCCTGTGGGGTGTAAGCCAGTGGGAGATGACACCACAGTGACTTTGTGGCAGGAATGTGCTGTTTTCTGTACAAATGTTTAATGCATATGTTATTGTGATGCAGTGATGTTTTAAACATTTAACGCTACTGCTAATTATGACTCCTAAAAATCTGATTCACACAAGCTAAAACGTCACCAACAGTAAATATGATGTATGTCAACTGCTAAATTGAACATGAATGTGTAATATCATGGCTCTAAAGAGGCTAAACACAGTGGCACATGGAATAATTTCATTTAGTGTTACAACGCAAACACCTTAGTGTTTTGGGTTTTTCATGTCTTCACCATATCTGTCTATGTGATCACAATATATAATAATTATAATGGCTTTTATTAAATGTAAATTAGTCAGTGTGCTTCGGTGATCATTTATTTTAATGTAAATAGGATAATTTTGATTTTAATCAGCCGTATTCATATTTGAAGAAAAATCACTCACTTAAATATTTTTATTACCACCTTCTTGTACAACTCACGATGCACCGCACAGATCATTGCACACAGTGTCACTTTTCAGCCTCAGGAATTTTGTCCATGCTCTGTAATGCTCAAAATTATTACTCATTTCTTATTCAGCATAAGTACCTTTTTGGGAGACTGAATTATTAGACACTCATTATACCAGCTCTGCTGCTGCACCTGCATTTTATGCCTCATATGTCTGCACCAACACTACCAAGCCATTTTATTGTTTTTACCTGTGAAGAATGTGCCTCAGATTCTCATGTAGGGTTCAAAATCAGGTTATTAACTTAAATAAAGAAATGTAAAGATATGTCCAGGGACCGCTTTAAAATGACTGTTATATATGGGTACTCATTGGATAAATCAAAAAATTGATTTTGCGTGTGGAGTAATTGTTCAGCTTGTTCAAGAGTTTAGTGTTAAGCAAGGATCATGTTGAGCTGCCTTGAAGATGCTGGTGCTGTGCTGCAGTGTTCACTTTATAGGTGTATATTTAAGAATACTGCACAGTACAAAATGCAACAGTATAGCTGCAAAAGGCACTCAGGCCTTACCTTCTGTTGCCTGCACTGACAGGGACCCTCCAGCCCTTTATCTGGCTGAGCTCGGGGTCGGCCACATCGATTAGCAAGGGCAAGCGGGGCATCCATACACTCATCTCAAGTTGGGCGCTTAGAAAACTGTAGGTAAAGTTGAGCATCACCCTGCTCTTGCCTCTTGTCTCCTTCCCATTGACGTACACATAGTCACAGCGCTCTGACACCTGGAGAAAAAAGGGAACAATGAGAGGTGGCAGGATGGGAGACGGGCACAAAGAGATAAAGAAAGACAAATCAATTTGAGATTGAAAACTTGGAGAAAAGATGACAAAGTATTCAAATTCTTTAAAATAACAAATTTAAATATAATTTTGCTAAAATGTATCATGGATGTAGTTGCAAAATTTTGTCATTTGGAAGTATTTGAGGAAGATTTCCAGTTTTTGTCCAGTTGAAGATTTTCAGTCAACAGCCTATTCTGACATGCTGGAGGGTGGAAAGATTTGGCATTACTTCAATGAAACCTCAAGTGTCAGGTCTGCTCAGTTTCCTCTCTGCTTGTGTGTGCGGTTGAATGTGTGCGAATGCGTATTTAATGCGTGCGCTCGCAGGATAATATGTGTGCAAGGAATATGACTTTGGTCCAACTTAACAGATGGAGCTGAGAAAAGACACAAAACCTGCTTCATCCAACCAGAGAACAAAACACTTGCTCGAACCAAATTCTGATTGGCTGGATGAAGTACAACTCCAATCAGGTTTCTCAGATGCGTCTCCAACATAGAGAAATTATATAGCAAGAGCATCAGAAGTGTCTGTTAGTATATTCAAAGCACCACAATCTCCGCATCAAATATTTTTTCCCCCTTTGACGACCAAATCCATTTAACGATCTGTCATTAAAATTGCGTTTGTAATCACTTGCATTTCAATTCATTTCAATCTCAAATACCATCATATGCTTGATTGGCACAACTAGTAATTTCAGCAGAATTCCTCAATACTGACAGTTGCTTCTTTATAACGAACCAGTCACAAGAAGACTGTCATCTGCCTCCACGTCTTTGCATATAACTTGGCAGCTTTACTCTCAAATGATGTCAGACCAGCCCCTGTCTCTGAGCAACAAAACTGACAGCTTGGTATCTGTCAGCTCTCTCCTCCTCCCTTTCGTTTCCTCTTTCTATCCCACTCTTTTACCCTCACCCTCAGTCTACTACTGTATTACTGTACCTCCTACATGTTCAGTCTTCCTGTAATGAGAACGGGTGGTGCTTCAGAAAGGACATTCAGAGTCGGAGAAAGGTTTAACATTTCATCTGGATTTCTGTTCAATTGATCAGTTTCATAAATCAAATCTGTGAAATGCATTTGTCATGTCAGTGTGTACAATCAATATCAAAATTATGTAGCATAGCCTTTCTTTGATAAGACCAACAGTCATCACATAAAGCAGTGTTTCTCAAACTTTTCACACCCCATACAACCTCAACACCACAAATCATTAGACTCTCCAAATACCACCATTATGGCTGACATTAGAATGCGGTAGTCTACTCTGTTCAGCTATGGAGAGTTCACGCAGGAGGCAGCTTTATTCCTTAGAAACCTAATAATAAAGAACTGGCACTTACACTCTTCCACAAAACTCCCATACACTGCAAGGTGTGACTAATTACGGGTGTATGCGTGCGGTACATGCGTCTGTTGTGACTACCATTGACCGTATATATAAGGTGACTACGTAGCAAGCTGATATTGAACAATATTACAGGAAAAGCTAAAATTATTTTATCTTACATTTTAGTATAGTTTAGAATTTCCATTTGGAATTTTGTCGTATTCTGATAATATTATATGTTAAATAATAGATTGAGAACCAATGACTTACAGTGCAAGTCAAATGATAACTTTGCATGATGCTTGTTATGACCATATCAATTACTTGATTAAAAGCTGTGAAAATGAAAATGTTCCATGTAGTTAGAACTGAGATTTAATGAACTGATTGATTGTCAGATATTTAATTTGCAACAGTTTAAATAATTTAAATGATTCATTGATTATCAAAGATAAAATGCTAAACACTGACTGTTTTCCTTCTTCTCAAAATGAGAGGTCTTGCTGCCTTTCTTTGTTTTATCTTTTTAAATTAATAATAATAATTCCCAGGCATCACCCTGCACTCTTCTGGACATGTTTTACTATTGCCTGACACTGTTTAGCCAAAGCAAATAATCGAGTAATCGCAAATCAGAAAAATGAAAATAAAAATGATTGTCAGTTACAGCCTGTCTTATCTAAGGAAGAAATAACACAGTACTTTGATAATACTAGTTTCTTAAAGCAGCCCCTCTCTGTTGTAGGTGTGCACGTCACACACATAATGTTCACGACATGCACTAATGTGCTGGGTTTCTAAAGGCAGCCATCCAGGGAGTGAGCTGAAAGAATCCACTTCACTGTTTATTGAGTCTCTTAAGCCTCACCTCTATTTTTGTTCCTTTTTGCACCGTTCATTTTCTCCAGCACTCATACACTCACTCTCTCTGATGCCCTAATGCTGAAATCAGTTCATGTCAACCCATTTCTACCTTTCAATCTCTAGTTTTGTTCCACTTTTACTCTACATTCTAGATCCATCTTTATCTTTCTTTCTGAAAGGTATCGGAGATGATAGCCGTAAAGATTTAATTGAGATCTCTGTAAGGTGACATATTCTGCACAGCATGAAAGATTTAGCACTTGACTGATCTCGCTAGCCGCAGTTATCACCATTAATGTGTCATGAAACCACGCACAAATCAATGTCACTTCTCCATGGAAACAATCCATTGTGTTGATAATCACGCAGGCTTGAAATTTTCAGAGTGACATGCACAAACCCAGATAAGGACACCACAGAATACAATTCAGATTCAGAGTTTATGACGCTAAGATTCTACTGTACTGGAACCTTTCGGCTATGGCCATTTGCTAAAGAATGTTAAGATTTCTTTCATTCACTAAAAAATAAATTGTCTTACTTAACTGGAAATCAGGGCACTGAGCATAAGTGGTATTTTTCTTAGATGATTCCAGCTGAGAGCAGTAAGTGTGTGAAATTTCATCATTCTAAACTATAAAGACTCACTAAAACTATAAAGTATATCCTAGTGTGAGGTTCAGTGGTTTATCTGGAACACCTTAAGGCTCTACATAATTGTAATAAAAAGTGAAACATCTAGACTCACATTGAAACAGAAGATAAAAAACACTCGCATATTTTGATTCTGTTCGTTGAGCTTTATATTACTATTTGTCTGAATTTATATTAAAATCAATCTGCCTTTAAGAAATAAAGACCTGGGGGAGGATATGTTGTAATACCTAGCTTTCAAGGTTGTTTTTAGATTTGATGAACATTAGTACATTTCCCCCGCTGTCCATTTTTCACAGTTTTCACTTTCATTTTATCAGAAAATATTCAAACAATGTTTGTTTTATTGGAATCACAAAGCATGGACTTGGAAGCCATTCTAAAGCAGTGTCCTGCTAATTCCTGGACTCACTTGTTATGGTAGAGTACTGTAGGCGACTGGCATCAAAAGGGAAAACATTGACAGCGGCTGCTTTAACCAAACGGTGTTTAGCAAATGCAGAATTTTAAAACTTGTTTGCTGTTGTTTTTGCATTTAAGGATAAAGGCCCAATGGCAGGGATATGACCAAATTATTCTTATCCTAACTGTATTGTGAGTGTTTGATTTTCCAATAATATAACTATTGATTGCTAATTTGTGAAATCAGAGCTTATTTGAATGCAGGGGCAGTTTTCAAACAGGTGATAGTGTAACTTTGCTTAAAAAATGCAAATTTTTCTGTAGTAATTTTGCGTTCCTCGCAATAGAGTTTGTGTTCCCTGGTAATATGTTCTGTATTCCCTCTGATCCATAAAGAAAGGCTGAGCCACATTACGATACAATCTTATGTATTATGTAATAGACCGCCCCCTGGTTGTAGCCCTGGGATGATATAGCTTTGGCCATGACTGTGCATTGATATGATTATGGCCGTGACACATTGGTTTTTAAGAGGCGTAACAGTGCATGCAGAGGCTGTATATATGCAGTTAATTGACATGGTTGTGCTGGCTGAGCACTGTAGTGAAGCTCCTGTATTCTTGAGCTTCTGTGATGTATCGGTAAAACACATCTGTCAAATCAGAGGTTAAAATCCTATAAGTTTATGTCATGCCGAGAATCAACTTGTTCATCAGTCACTTAGGGCTAATAATAACTAACAGTTACCTTCTAATCTAATAATCTGCTGATTTTTCTCAATTAATTAATCATTTAATTGTTCGGTCTATAAAATGTTAGAAAAGAGGATAATAGGGACAATGATGTTCAATCCAAGGTGTCTTTGAATTGCTTGTTTTGCTTGAACAACAATCCAAAGCCCAAAGATATTTGACTTGCTATTATAACAGACTGAGAAAACCTGCAAATATTCACAAGCAATTATCAAAATAGTGATTAAATGATCAAACATTTCAGCTCTACAGTCAACGTAAAATCCACTGGTAGGCTTTGTAAATATACCAGTGAGCTATTTCCAATTTGTAGTGGTGGGGTAAAATAAAGAGAACTGCCAATAAGATGTGGCCTTTACAGTTTTAGGTTCAGGATTATTTTATGGTGGTCCATGCTGCGGGAAGAACTTAATCCTCAAAGTTTCTATGAGGGAAGATGGAGATCCCGATCAAAAAAAGTGTTTTATTTTGAGTTTCCTTTGAAAATAGGGTGGAGAGAGGAGGGGTACCGCTTACTGTTACCAAACTAGAAGGGTGGGCAGGGGAGTGCGCTACCGAGGTCAGCGTCACAATGTGTGGTACTACTTCAGTGGATAATTAAACCCTTTGAGAGATCTGCCTCTTCTCTTCTCTCTGATATGCATGTACTGCACACATACAACACACAAAATCAGCTCCTCAATATAACACACACACACACACACACACACACACACACACACACACACACACACACAGCTGCAACACTTTTCTTTTTCTTTCACACATACTGACAATTAAGAACAAACAGTTTATTTTTTCTCATTTCTCTCACTTCACTCATTTTTCTCGCTTCTCCTTTTGCGTAATAGGATGGGGACACACTGAAGGGCAAAAATATAAAATCTAATGTTATCACAGTAAAAAAGCTCAATCTTTACCTACCACAGTGGATTAAGCTACTGCTTTTTAAAATGTTTAGATTAACAGTAAATCCTGTGTAACATTTCCCAAAGCATTCAATAAGGTTTTATATTAATTACGCAAGCTTTCAGAGAGCCTGATGAAAATCAATTTAGAGAGATTTGAAACTTGCTCAAGATAGGAAATCAATCATGGTGAAATTTTTGCCACCTTTATTGTTTGTCAGAGCTCTGTTATTGGCAAATGGTAATAAAGTTGCAAACTGGGGCTTTTGAGAAAACTCTTCTACTTAGGGCATAAAGTCGGATTTCAAACTACCTTTTTAAATGCAGGAGATGAAATTCTTACTGTGCTTTTCAAAACATACTGTATATGCAATGCAATTACATTATTTTAACATTATCTGGAGGCAAGTAAAATGAGCAGAGGGAAATGAGAGTGGCATCAGCTACAAGCTGCAGAATAAACAGCAACTTTTGTCTAATATGAATTCGAGCTGCTGTCTTGTTGTATTTTGGCTCCACCGTATCAGATGGGGAAGTATAGATTTCAGGCAACAACATGATCAGAAACAAGCACATACTAGTAGACTTAAAAAAAAAAAAGAAATCTTGTACATCTGCTGTTCTGAATTTTTTATATTCTGCTCCCTCTCACTAGAAACACTGTTCATATTTACAGTCTGTCATTTCTTATGATAAAATCACAGTTTATTTAGGTTTATATATATATATTATTATCTGTAACAAACAGTTATGGTACTGTGACCTTTTATGTATCAGTATGTTTTCTCTCATTCACTTGGTGTCCTTAATGGAAATATTCTTGCTTTTTTCTTAGTTTTTTTTAAAAAACATTTTTGAGGTATCGATCTGTGCCTTGAGGAGAGGCTCTCAATTTCTGGTGTACCATTTAAGAAAATAAAAAATAAAATAAATAAAGAGAGGAAAAAAATCCGGTCCCTAGTTTGCTCGAGGAAATTCAGCACCTGCTTCTCCTTGACTAATGAGCACAAACCATTTCTACACCGCAGCTACCTTTTGTTCATTCCGCTCACCCACCCACGTACCACTAGAAAGCTGACCATGAAGCAAACGACAATAAAGGCAAATGAGAAAGAGGTAGAATTTAAAAAAAAAAAAAAAAAAAAAGCAGCTGCACGAAACCCATGCCCACTAACCTTGATAACCTGGTCATCTGTAGACCTGCACTCCACCGACTCCGTTACATCAGAGACAGCTCCGTCTGTTCCTACGGTGACTACCTTTACTGGCACGGCGACTGTGCGCCCAGTGAGGACAGCTGTGTTGAGGATCTCGGTATCCTGCGAGGGAATACAGTAAGACAAAAATGAGTATTATTCCTAACAACACAGTAACTGGGTTGAAAACTGACTTTTTGAGGTTGACAATAACACTGATGTGTTCATTTTTAAACACATCATAAACATAATCATTTTTAAAAAGGAATCCCTGAAATGTGGTCATTAAAGAAATGTTTTGATACTATATATGAACAGGACATTTTGCAGTTGAGTCGGTCAGGGGACTTTCATTGTCGGTTACAATAATAACCACTTAAGTCCAAGTACAGATTGTGGTCATGGTTAAAAGGATTTGTCAGAAATGGGAAATGAACAGTGGTGACCTGTGTCAAAGTCATATCCCATATGTGTAGTTTGTTGTTCTTTTAATAACGTGAACTGACTTCTTTCTGTGCTCTCTGTCATAAGTCCTACGGCCGCTGCTAGGCTTACTACGGCATCTGTCGTTTTCGGGCATTTGCTGAAATGACTTATGCTATCATTTTTCTTGGGATGATTATCTAAATTTCCTCAGACATATCTTTGGCATGTCTATACTGCAGTTTACGTATAGGCGGACAGTTATATTATTACCAATGCCTATATATATATATATATATAGTAAGCTCATATAACTGACAGGAACAGTTTTATGTTGCTAATAGGCCTCAGAGTAATACTCCAAAATTAGGAAGAAGCTTGTTTGCTGTTTCTGGATCTAGGAGGGAAACGGATCTACTAAAAGACAGTTCCAACTTTACAATATTCTGTTTTCATTCTCTAAATGTGTTAAATACACACCTACAATATCTAAATATGTATTTGAAAGCACCTTTTAATGGAGCTATATTAGTTTTCTGTGTGCGCAAAGAGCGTGAACAGTACTTACTTTTCATTTTGCATTCATGTAGTTCATAATTCCAAACGAACAGAAATAGAACATTGGATTAATTTATATCAACTGCCATCAGCTTCATTCATGCTTCACCCATCAGTGGTTCACTCATCAGTTAGTTGGCAGCTGACTAGTAACATCCAGTAATATTTACAGATGTAGCCAGCAGCACTTCTCACTATTATGCCGCTGATACCTTCACGCCAAAGTCATTTGCTGCTGCAGCTCCTTCCTCCAACCACCTCCTCCTCACTATATGTGCTAGCACATAATGTTCATGTATGTTTTTAGGGTGAGATTAGTTACCCCAGATAAGTCTTCCAGCAGAATGCCTGTTGCAACTCAGATTCATTGAGAGCTCAGTCAAAGAGTAGCTAATTTCCACTAAATGTAATTGTGTAACCATTTGGTCTATTCCTGACATACAAAGCGTCTCCAACTGAAATAGACACATTAAGTGTAGATTAAACCAGAGTGGTACGACACTTGTATTCGCATGTGCTCGATAGATATTTATCTACTTTTTGTAGCACTTTTCAAAGCACTAGTTATAAAGTGCTTTATATAAACACCCAAAAAGAAAAAAATATATATTACACAGCAGGGGTACAGCACGCACATTACAAATTAACACTCTAAGTGCACAGTAACAGCAAATAAAACAAAACAACATAGACAGTGTATGTTATGGTGGCAGAGCAACAAATTAGAAAAGGCCAATGTGTACACACAAGCTTTTAGAAGTTTTTTTAAAGCAGCACTGACTCAGCTGAGGGGGAGGCTGGTTCATAGTGTGTTTTTTTAAATTGGAACAAAGAACATTTGATATAAATTTGTCAGCAGATCTGTTTTGGTCCAGCATATGAAGCTTAAGATCAGAAATGTACAACATACGTAAAAATAAAATGCTTTCTGTGTTTATATTGGTCAGAGGCCATGCTGCTGATGTGTGTTCTCTTTACTCACAAACAGAAATGTAATACAATTTACCTGAAGGGACACATTTCCTGCAGTTGATGAATATAATTGCAATCTGAGACATTTAGCACTATGTGTTTAAGTAGCCCAACATAATGATGAGCGCTGAGCAGCTATGAGCAGTAATCTTTACTGCCACAGGGACCTAAAGCAGACAGATGTATGTGTGAACTGACACTGTAACAATCATTTTTATTTCTCAGTTGTTTTTGCTATCAATCAATGAACTATTATCTTTTGTACTGTTTTATCCATTGTAAAAAAATATAGTTATAGTATGTTTGCAGTTTACTACAACATGTTAAACAGTATAAAAATATAGTGACCTTTCAGCCAGGTACCAGTGACAGTTGGGCGTGCTAGGACAAAGTCAGTCTATATAATGACGTCATACTAAATTCTGTGCAGCATTCATGTTTTTTGCAAACTTAAACACGAACATACTGTGTGTGGAAGCAGCCACAGCCATTTCAGTCAGCAGCGCTGAATTAACAATACTGAAGGAAAGCGGGAGAGAGGCAGTGCATGCATGCAGGTGAGAGATGTGACCCACGTCCAGGTTATTATAGTTTATAAAAATGAAGGACAGTAAGGATACAGCCCATTAGGGGACAAGCGCGTAAGTTCTGGAGGTTGCAAACAATATCTGATGAGTTGGGAGTGAGAACGTGTTCCAACAGGTTGGCGCATACGTGGAGCTACTGATGCGCATTCATTCACCTCACGGAGGTCACATGAGACAGCTGTCAGTCTGTTTGCCACTGTTAACAGAGACTCCAGTCTGCAGTGTAGTTTTTATTACACCTCACTGATAAGCCATTGAATTGTAAAATCATACTATATGATCTACGTGTACCCGATTAAGCAGGATCATTTATATCTAATTAATACTTAGCCTAAGAACTTTACACAAGGCAGAAAGCCAAAAGGAATATATAACTGCACACTGCACACCAAAAGACATTAAAATTGTGAAGCCCGGCTGGAATATCTATGAAATAGGCTTGCGCAATGCACAAATCAAAAGAACTCATCCCTAACTCATTTATCAGAAACTTCATTAAGTATCTATCGAGTATGCATCAGTTCAATAACTTAAACTCTTACAACTGCTGAATTAAGCGGCGATGGTAAATATTTTGAAGAGCAGATATTGAAAAATTGCCAACCTAAACTAAACATTGTAAACATTAGAGCAACCACAGAAATTACACACGAGAGAGGAGAGAGAGAGCAGATGGAGTGCCAGACTACAACAACCTGTTCAATGTGACTGACAGATACAGCAACCACTGTAATTTAAAAAAAATATATATTTTTAAATCGCCAGCAGTCGGCCCCATGGCATTAATTTAACCTGAATCTTCAGTGCTCAATTAGCAGCCTCCACTTATGGGTGTCCACAGGAGGAGCTACAATTGTTAACAAATGCATTAATAAACACTTACAACTGCTTACAACTACATATAAAGCTTTTCTTAAGTGTTATGCCTGGAACACTGTCAGACACACAATGGACATTCTTCTTCACTGTCAAAACCTGGTTGCCTACATTACCCCCAATGCAACTTGACCGCTGGCAGTTTGGTCAGAGATTCAGGTGTGTTATGCTAGTAGCGGCTAATGCAGCGTCGCGCTTCGAGCCTCATGCAGAGATGAGGAGCAGGCTACAGAGGTCAGGAGGAGCTCACTCACAAACCTTATACAACTCTGTCGTAGTTGTAAAGACCTGTAAACAGACTTTGATGACTAAAATGGAGGAATGTCTTTTTAATGATATTCCTCCCCTGAACTCACCTCAGGTGGATAAAAAAAACTTTGACATTAATACTTTATGTCAAATTGCAGGCATTAAAGAGATATCACAAGATACACTTCAGAATGGAAAGCCTCATAGAGGAGCAGCGAGAAGATAATGAGATCAATTAAGACAACGTCTGGTAATCCTTGAGCTCTGTGTGTTGGTTGTACAGAGGCTTTAACGGTGGATCCTGCTCATCACAGCTTAGTTTCAATGGAGACTACTAAAAGGCCTAAACCTTTGAAAGGCAAAGAAAAACTGGTCTCCAGACAGCTCTTTGTTCATCAAAACTGGTGCTTCTCTGTTTGCTTTGTTTCTTCACCCTAATGCTCCTTTTTGAGAAGAAAATATAATTTTAAGCTCAGCAGTAGATTAAGGAACTCCACACCTATTAAAAAGAGGTCTCCTTTCACACATCTTATTTTTCTGTTTTCTGGTTCTCAAGGTTAATTTATTTATCATTCTACAGCACAAGGTTGTGCTCTACCACTGTGCTACTTCTCTACTGAAGGTGACAGCAGTCACACAACGGGCTGATGTTACAAAAAAGTGTTTAAATGTCCTTTTCTTTGGCCATGAATTGAAATGAGCTGTAGGCACCTGTCACTGTTGCTTCTTAAACGTTAAGTATTTAACCCCCACCTCTCTAAACCACTACCATGAAAAGGTTGGGGGGGGTGAAAGAGTGAAATAGAGTGGGACTTCCCCCATTCTTCCTCAAAGTACAATCTCAGAGAGATGACTCAAACAAACCTGACCTGTGCTCTGACATGGGCATTGTTATTAACTGTCCACCGTGGCTGTCATTGAAGCTATCTATTCAGGGTCTTTTAAAAATGAATAATGAATGTCCAATCTCAGCTTTTCACTGACGTTTCCAGTTTTTTCACCTCGCACTTCTGCTTTTTAAACCTCCTCGGCAGAATTCGTGCAGGTGGGCCTTTCCTTACATATACACATATTTTTAGATGTGTGAAAGACTGTCACAGTTTATCACAAATCTTTCTCGCAGCATCTGCGAATTTGTTGGGCCTGCCACGAAGGGATACAAAATCTGTAGGCAGGGGAGAAATTACGTGTTGTAATTTTCTGGTAGAAGTTGATGTAAAATCATTAGGCATCTGATGCGGTATAGGTTTCATGATGATATCAAAGGAACTTGTGGGCATACGCTAGATGTGTTAATGTGCTAATATGTATGTTGGGAATTTAGAAAAATGAAAGAAAAACGCAGAAATCCATCTCTTCGTCTCTTAACTTTAATTTTAGACTGAGTCAGATTTCTCAAAAACTAGAAATTACATTTGTGCACAGTGTATGCTATAAAGCAAACACTCACCATCTGAG